GCCCATTTCTGCTGCAACTTCTTCACTGGATAGCCTGGACGAGGCCAGCGAATGATGTCTTTGAAGCCTTGACCTGGAAGTAGGAGAATAAGTGTCTTTAGTAAGGTAATTATGTATCTCTTCGTTAATGGAGTGGCATCTATTGTGAAAAGAGTCTCGGTCTCTTTTCCCGGTTCGAGTATCCAGAGTATTATTACGTTTGCAGCTGCACTAGAAAGTTATAATTTATAACATTATATCTCTGTATATCGGAAATTAAAAAAAAAATCTATTCTATTTTTAATAGCTATTATTATTCTCAAGTCTATGGCAAAAACGTGTTTAGGTACTAAGTGGCGTAACTAATAGTGAGATGTAAGTTAAGGTCAAGGCTTGTCGAAATGAGCCACAGTTGTCAGTTTATCAATTTTAATTTTTAAGTAGGTAGTGTGCAATGGTAAAACACCGTTTATACAATGGGATTCCTAAACTTCTCGCAATTTTCTAAACACAATCTACGCAGTGCCTGCATACGTAAATCATATCTACGCAGGTACTAACAATAGTATATTATAGGTATATTAATACTTGTCACGAGGTATCAGCGTGAACAACAGCCATACCAGATAAATCTTAGGATTAGTAATCGTTATTTGTTATCTAAAAGTTTTTATCATTACATTTAAAAAATATTTATTTACTACAACCTCTATGGTCTAGCACTAAAGTCTTTACAGTCCTGAGTTTACTCATTGGCTTGGATAAGCCATATTAGCTTGATAATCTCACTTACAGCTCAAGACTGGAATTAAGCCAGGTTTAAAGGTTTGAACAATTGCTTACATTTACTAAATTGAATTTAACCTTATCCTTTTGAAATTAAATTCAAAATCATGTTACAATTTGGTGTATATGGTTATACTTTATACAACCTAATTAGCAACAAATGAAGTTGCTTTATAATTAGTAGGCCTAGTACTGAGAAGTTGGCTGGACATTCCAGCTTACTTATAAGACAGATGAGAAAACCTGTGTGTATCCTACAAACAAAGTTAGTCTGAATTCACATTGTCTGGCTCCACTGTAACTTTGAATAGATTTTCAATCTTATCACTATGTGATAAAGTTGAAAATATGACAGTGTCTGTACATTACGAACCTCAGATAGATAAACTTTATAAATAATTTTGATAAGTATCAGATGTAATTTGTGAGTAATTAACTTTACTCAACTGGAAACATTGTGACTCATTCATTAGCCTAACGTACTACAAAATCGCCGATTGAAGCTTGATATAATTTTAAAGCTATATTTAAAACATGGCGCGAGTTATAAGTGGGCTGATATAACAGATATTTATCAATTACTCACATATTTTATTTGTCTGAAATCTTACGATTAATAGCTAGATAATAACATATGAAGCCTGATTCATATTGCAGGTTTTTCAAAATATGCTACAAGCCCTTAAAGAAAGTGAGTAAAAGCTAAGTGAAACTGTGGAGTGAACATAACAATGCAAAAGTGGTTTCGTTGAGGAATTATACTAAGAGCAAATTAAATTATCCTTTTTAAGGCATAGGTAGGCAAAAACAATCAGACAGATCAGATGGTAATCAATTGGCGCCACATATGGAACCTGCAACACTAGATGAACTACAAGAGCATTGCCAGCCTATTGGATTTAAGGATTGAGGGAGATGAGTGAGGAGGTTTGCATTTGCACCTCTGATAACATCATTCATTTAGCTTATTAACTTGAAAATTATATGACATACATTATAGAATCGGAAAGTGATTGATAAAGATAGATATTATTGTTAAAACAAAGATTTATCATTGCATACATCTACATAAGAATGTCAATGCCATACTAACTAAGCTAGTTACTTAGCTTGGCCTTGGTGTTGAACTAACAAAAAAATGACAATAGTTAACTTCAATAAGTAATGACAAATGCTTATTAATAGCAATCCTATTATCAGGAAATAAATAAACGCTATTACACCTTTATACATTATTCACTGGATTTCAGAAATAGATCCAATGGTTTCAATGAAATTTGAAAGGGTTTTGGAGGCAAAAGGTCAAGTTACCAATGTTTAATTTAAAAAAAATCAACAATAAATATAAATTAATACAGTCAAATGTTGATCAATAGATACACATAAAACTTAAGTCACATAAACATGGAAAATTGGTAATTAATTTATAATTACTTATTAATGTTTTTTCAATAATTAATTTGGTGGGTAGTTTTTTATGATATTTAACAATATTTTTTTACACATTTTAGTAGCTGTTAAAAATTTGTAATAAAAACATTTAAGGAAGCCCATGTTTTGGGAGTAGATGTCTTATGGTTAATACATTGATGAATTTATTTTCATAACTATAAGTAAATATTGACCAATTTATTGACTACTTCTTTTAAACATATACTTATTATTCAGCTATGTAGTTGAATAGTGGAAATATAAGAATTAAAGCCCTAGTAACACCTTTAGGCTATAATTACATCCTCATGGCCATATGAGGTCATCACTATCAGTTTAGAATTTTTGATAGTACTCACTTTAGAAAACCAGTCTATATACAGAACAATATCTGAGAATATTCTAGACAATAACATTTGATTACAAATGACATTTTTATAAAATGTGATATCAATACAACCTACTTTATTATGACTAATAATACTAGTAATACTCAAATATTTTTGTATTTGCATGTTTACAATGTCATTCCAACCAAATACCAAATTCTTTAAAACCAATTTTCGCCTTTATTACAACTGCATAGAGGTTGAATTGCATTACAGAAATTCGACGATTTGTACTCACTGTTGCTTGTCATTTGTGATAAGAAAATTTTACATATGACAAATTCATCAAGAGTAGACTTTTGTAAACAGAAAAAAGTAAAATATAGGCCATATTATTGCTTAAAACAATAGTTCAAAAATGTTTAGTTATAAATCACAAACAAGAGCCTAATCAGGATTTTATTTTTAACTAAGTTGAAATTCTTATAGAAAATGCCTTGTAGGATCTAGGACTCATCTTCTAGAAAAATATATTTGTATAAATAAATGCTTATAATGCAAACAATACAATAAAGTCAAGAAACTGCCCACATGTGCAGCAACAATGTTTGCACTGTACAAATGAAGAAACAAGTTCAATAGATATTCAGCCTTATCGTTAAAAGAATAAGGTTCACAGATTATTGTAGCTTGAAATGCTGGATCTGTGTGTGTGCTTGTTATAATACTTATAGCTGTCAACAGTCTGGCCAGGGATGTTATCAAACATTCCATGATCATGTTATTGTGTCTATTGCTTACAGAGTTCAGGTTTCAGACTCCTTTACACAATAAATAACACAATCTATTTAGCTATTCTCATCCTGTCTCGTGGCTTGTAGAGCTAAACTGCTATTGAATAGGTAATTTCAATTGATGATAATAAGATGACAGTAGCAGCAGCTTTAATGTGCTATGATTGCTATGAAGCCCTGTAGGTCTAACATGAACTAACCATTGAGATGATTTTTAGTTGAAAGTACTTGTTCACTTACCAATATACATAACTACAGTCCACACCAGCACCACTCTTCTGCCAACAGCTCCATCAATGTTCCAGAACCAAAACGGAATAAAGGTAGCGTAAAATATCTCGTCCCCCAACTCAGTGCCCAGTACGAACAGGTAGTACCAGAACTTGTTGTCTATTTGGCACTCCACCACATCCTTCCCGCCGCTATCACCAGAACTATCAGTATCATACGCCGATGACTGCGAACTACTCGATATGTTACTAGGAATTCTCTTGTGCTGCTTCACGTCGGACTCTTCGTTCAAACGCTCCAGTCGATCTGAATGTACCACTTCGGCTGATTCATTTTCCTTGTCTTGTGTACTTTGATTGCTTTTATAAGTTACACCAAAAAAGTTTTGTACTTTAATAACTAATAATGGATCTTTTAAATATTCTATAATTTGTTCCCACATGCTCGAGCCTTTTATTTTTCTAACACAGCCACAAGATTCGTGTAACACACACTTCCTATAATATACAAATGCGAATGAAATCACCGTTTTCTCTCAAGTTTCTGGAGTTTTATGAAGTTTAGTCTTGACAACCTGCTGACAACTAAACATGACATCTAACTTGACATTATGTTGACATTGACATACCAGGTCTTGTTTTGACAGTGACTTTTGTTCTTTAATGTTGGAAATTAACGAATTATGATTTAAAAATAAATATTTTATTCATAACTACTAATACAGTTTTAGGTACTAATACAGTTTTTAAATTTTATGATCGAGACAATGATCTTGTGTGTATTTCTTTAAACAGTAATTTTCGAGAATTCGTTACGCTTCTATTATTTTTTTGTACCTGTACATATCGAAATTATATCAATGACTATTTAGTGCCTTAACTAAAGTAAAATAATTAAATGATTATTGAAATATTAATATCACAAATAAACTTAAAAAAAGATACAACTTACGAAATGAGGACATTAGTTACAATTCTCTGCCGTGTCTCGACTTGCAAAAACATACAACAGTCTCAGTGATGAAGTGGATATCTTCAGTGATACATTACCGGTATTTAAAAAAAATGTGTTGGGGATTTTTGGGAGGACTGAATTCCAATAAACTTTGTTTAAATAAAAAAAAAATGTTTTTGTTTTATAAATAAGTACTTATTTTATTTTAATTTAATTTAGAATCGTAATTTTTGCAATTTCTATCTTATTACTCTTCCTACTATTTTAAATTATATTCTTCTTTATTAATTATTTTTTGTGTCACTACGATATATTTTGTGCATGTTGTGACAAAATGCTGTACATTTAATTTTATTATAGTGTATTTAATGTTTAGATGTAAGAAATAATGTAGCAGCTACTGGTTGTCCATAATTCAATAAATAAATAAATAAATAAATAAATTAGTTTATCCACAGAACAGAAAATCTCATCACTACATTTGTCAAAGCTGTCAAAAAAGTTTTTGCCCGTCAATGAGGTTGTTTGACCCGCAAATATTATTTTGCGAAGTTATTTCATGCAAATTAACTTTTGTAAAGAAAATAATTTTAATTTTGCAATTACTAAGTCCTCCTATTAAAGCTATTCGATTGAAAAGTCGCCATTTGGTGCAAGCGTTTCATGTGAGTATTATTTAATTTATTAATCACTGTGTTATTCTTGATATGTTATTTATCTGTTTATCTATTCTCACTTTTGTTTTATTAGACTTGTATCTTTCTATTTTATCAGAAAATTTTGTTTAGTATTTATCCATAGAATGCCAAATTTATCCGAATAGTTGTGTGTCATTTTAAAGTTATGCAAATTTTTGAAGTTACCCATTAATAATTATTCAAGTAACAAATCAACAAATAATTGGAAGTTACCTCAAATTCAATTGTGTATAGGCCCTATATTACTAGATGTAATATTATTTTTCTTATTTGATTATTATTGGTCTGGTTCACCTGTTAATAATATAAACACACAAATTTTCTGTTTATATTTTAGGTAAGTTATATACAAATTGATATTCAATTTAAAAAAAAAATGGTTAGCTTTTGCCATAAGTTTTTCACATTTAGAGTTCATAATTATATTATATTATGGTAATAGATCTAATAAGAATATTGTTTCAATTTCAATTCCCATTTGAGTTGGAAAGTATTCATTTTAATTTAACTAATTTATGTAAAATAACATTTAACGCGTATTGAATCGTTGGTTATAAAATATAATTTTACTGAATCAATACTAAATTGATAAATTTTCAAAACCTCAAGATATCTATCCAAAAAATGATACCTAAAGTTGGTCTAATAAGAGGTCCCTTACAGGTGTTAATGGTGGCCACAATTATGTATTTTCTTATTTTTTTTTTCTATATAAGCCATTGTGTACAATTGTTGGTAGGTTTAATTCATCAATCCCCAAGTGAATGCTGGCGCTGGCACACTTTTTGTTCTTTTATTGTGTCTCGAATTGCCACAATTGAAATGTTAAGTTTTCTTGTTATAAACTACCTCCATAATTACATCAGAACTTTTTATATCTATACTCCATACAGAAGTAAATCTTTATTTATTCAGCACCACGATTATAGCGTTCCCTTGTCTTACAAAATCACTAGACTTTACTGCAATTACATTGTAAATAATTCTATTATAAGAGAGATAATTGTGTAACATTTTATCTAATTATTCCATTCATTAATGAATACACTCATATTATTATTTATAGATGTATTTTTTGAACTATAATTGACAGCAGCTCTACTTATAATCTTTTACAAACTTGATAGTGAGTTCCAACTGTTTGCAAAATTTATTAGGTAATGTGTTTTATTGATTTTATAGTATCATGACAATAATCATGTTCTGTTGCCCCGTCTCATATGGGGTGGTTTTTAGTCAGGAAGTGTTTCCATCTAGATTTTCGTGTATTGTGTCATTTTCGCCCACATCAAACAATCTCTCCAAATTAACTTTTTTTTACGGAAACGCAAGTCTATTGTATCATTTTTCGTTAGCTATGTTAGACTCCTTTCTAATATACCTGGAATAAATAATTAGAAAAACCCATTTTCCAAAGTTCTCACTTTTTAGTAAAAAAACATTCACTCATGTCTCGTTAACTTTGTGATGTGAAATGCCCGCCTTTCTGATCATTTACTTTCTTAGTAATACTTATGGTTAGAAATACCATAATTGAATTACTTGATCATTCATATAAGCAGCTTGCATGTGCATCGTCACTATCTCGTTCGTATAAATGACAATTGTAGCACGTATGAAGACAAACAAGTCTACATAAACACTACAATAAGTATCAACTACATTCTCGAGTCAGTTGCTTACTGAACAACAGTCAACTACGGTACATGTGTCGCCGTTACTTGAAAAGTAACATTTGACAAATTCATCTGTAGTGATTAGATTGATAACTCTCGTTAAACATACTGACGTACCTACATCATTAGGGTATGTGAATCTCGCAGATAAAGTAATTGTCCCGAACGGCGACTATTATCAGAGTTCTCTCCAATAAATAATGACCGCGGTGATAAGGCTTCTGGCCATTACACGAACACTATGTACTTGCGCATCGCACGCGAATGTGGACAAACAGTGCTGGGACTACAGTGATAAACTTCTGGATGTACAGTGATCATTAGAAAGCGTTAATTATGAGTGTTAAGTGACTAGTGTAAATAAGTGCACAGTAGAAGGTAATATTTGTATGCTAATGTGATCTTTCTCTTTAATAAAATGTGCTTCGTTTATTTTTGTGATATAACTTACCTATTGTTAATTATAAATTGGAGCAGAGATAATTGATGTCATCGCGCAATATAATTGCATCTGAATAACTGTGCTATAAAACAATTAAATATTTAACGTTGTAATATATAAACTACTGGATAGAAGATGCATTTAAAAGATCGGGTACCTACTATTTCTATACAGAATTTTAAAATTTAATGTAACTGCCCTTAACGTACCTACCTAGGTACTCATAAAATCGCCCTTATTGTTATTGTAATAGGGATACTATGATTGTCTATTAGGCCTATTACTATTATATAGTATGTTTACTATCTACTCAATAGCCGATAGTAATCTACTCTGTTATAGTTGAATTACGCATCGTGTATGTTCGTAGAGACGTAGATAAAACGTAATCAAACGATAGTGGTCCTATAATTGATCGTTATCGTGTCATAGGTCGCAAAACATTGCAAATGGCGACGGAGGAGGACATCGACACTCTCAAACTATATTGGGATCACTTCTTCAAAGCGGAGACTGGTACTTATGAGGTAAGCAGAATGCAATTATTCAGATATAGGTACCCTACACGTAAATGCCAATTTGGAAACATGTTTAATGCAACATTTTAAGTAGGCGGAAAGCATGGCTACTCAACTGCTTTTTTTACGAATTTAAAACATAAAACAAGCCCGCACCCTTTAATACCCTAAGAGATGGGAAGAAGTGCACAATACAATACCCACAAACATATTTATCTTGGAGTTCAAAATCGGTGTTAGCCTATTGCCATATTATTTTCAGTTTCCCCTTGATTATAAAATCTAATTGTGAGTTATATTATTTGATACAGAAATGTCGTAATCTGTGAACTTGCGTATTCCAGCGGTCATTGAACTTTATCGGTGTTTAATTCTGGTCACTGAAGTATAGTATCGTGACCGCTTGACTCTTTAGAAAGAGACAAATTCAGTCTTAGTTTTGGAGTCACCGGAAGAAAAGTTCAATGTCAATAATTTATTATTATTGAGTAAGTCTACTGTGTTGATAGACAACTATGACTAAAGTTGTCTTCAAAAATCCAAAACAAATAAGTTAACAGTGTTTCAATTGATATAGCCGGATATCTTACACTTATTTATAAACTATAGTTGAGACGCACAACGCGCTGCAGCAGCTAGCCACGAAATACGAAAGTGGTCGGCTTCGGCTATTATCCAATTGAGGCGCGGTCGTGCTCGACTGCGTTAACATGCTAAACTGAAATACATACTATAAGTACCTACTTATTGCATAATGCATCATTACGCCGTACAGTTAACTAAATGTAAACAATCTTGGTAAAAGAAATATCGTATCATATTAAAGAGGTTGTATAAAATACATACAAAGATTATTTTAATTTAGTTTATAAGCTAACATTGATTTAGGTTAATACCCGACTGTAAACATTTTTACATACAATTTTAGACAACTTTTAGATAAAAAGACATCCCACGATTGCTTCCATTTAGTTAATTACCTAGAAACCGATCGACCATGGTATCGACTGAGCAGTTTTATTAAACGTCGTGTTTCATACTCTTAATTGTCTGCTGAATACCTTGACTAAGTGATAGAATAATGAACACTGGTTAAACATCGATTTTAACTTTACTGTTATAAGAATCTTCACGAAGTATTCTCTATACTTACATACCCTTTTTACACTAACCTGCAGTTTCTTCGTAAAAAACAACCGACTTGTGATATAGGTTGTTCTGTTTCTGTTTATCAGGAAAAGGCTTGCATTCGTCGAATGTTTAGCTATCGTTTTATAAAGACTATTGTCTAATGAGATTTTTATTTACAGAAATCGACGTGGCTAGACTTGTTTCTAGCCGAGTTCCTGATCCGCGTCAATGATGGTGCCAACCCTAAGGAATTGATCAAGTTCTGGTGAGAATATTTTTTTACTTGACAATTTATAATATTGCTTGTTTTAAATTAATGAAAAGAAGTGGTTGTTTAATGTATAATGGAGTACATTCCATTATACGTTAAACAACCACTTCTTTTCTATACAATGAGTCCTATGCCATTAGATAGGTAATATATTATGTGTAGGGAGCGAACATATTGGACAACTTTTTTAGACTAAGACATTTACAGATTTTATAAAATAAAAATAATACCTACATACTTTAACCTGGCAAGAAAAACAGAGACTTTCATTGAGTTCACTATTGACTTTACTACACTACTAACTACATCGCTTGGCTCTGCTCGACCAACGAGGTAAGCAGAGTTTACATAAATCCGAAAAATTGCCCTTTTTATGAGATAGGTCGGCAAACGGACCGACGGATTGATTACCTGATGGTAACCAATCAATCAGCACCGCCCGTGGACAGCCGCAACACAGTTAGGGTTCCGGATATTTAAGGATAAGGGAGGTGAAGGATTGGGCCTCCGCTAACCTCACTCACATGGCGAAACACAACGCTGTGGTAGTTTCACGCCGTTTTTCTATAAGGTCGTGGTATCACTCCTTTCGAGCTGACATATTTGCGTCGAAGCCTGGCTCTCCCACACTTAAATGCTAAATAATATAAGACATCGTTTGTATATCAGTCCTGTAAGCGGGGTGGTGACGCTGGTTGGGTGCGAGCTGCTGTGCGGCATCCACCGCGTGACGTCATCCATCAACACGCACTACTCCGTGCCACTGCCGATACTCGACACAGCCGCGTCTGCGCCCGTTGCCCACAACATCCAGATACATAATGAAGGAAACGGTGATAATGCCAGTAAGTAAAGTATATTATCATCAAGCATACCACCATATCATCATTGTTATTTCGGCTATACATGAATACATACGTCACTGCTGGGCATACTTTATTGGGGAAGATCCAATTGTTGGTTAAACACGTAAAATGCGTAATCTCACGCTCCGGTAACTTTAATCACGCGTGGTTTTGCGTGAGGCCGTCCAAGCTGTACCATTCAGGTCTAAATATGGCGACAAAAATGCTCTAATCAGAGAAACTGTTTATCAAATGTATATACCATAATGATTTATCATTTATCTGTGAGTAAGGTTCAACTTTATTTAGAACTAGCTTCAACCCGCAACTTCGCCGGCGTGGTAGAAATAGTGATATAAATCAACCACTGTGGTAAACCAAGGTATCAACTATCAACATACCAAATCGGTCTAATCGTTTTTGCGTGAAAGAATAACAAACATCCATCCATACAGTCTCACAAGCTTTCACATTGTATAATATTAGTAGCATAAGTTGTAAATACTCTATAAAATCTAAACCTACCTTCCGTGTTCTTGCAGGCATAGAACAAAGGCCTGACGAGCAGAAGGCAGGTCTCACCAGTTTGTTCACTCGCACCAACACGCAGTCTTCAGAACAGATCCTAAGGAAGTACCTGCTTGGGGGCGTGGCCTGGCGGTGCCTCGTGCTGCTCAAAGCTTTGGGAGTTGAGGTGAGGAACCAACTTCGTTCCCAAATGTAACCAGGAAGGAGCAATAAGTATGATAGCCAAATGGTTTAGGAGTTTGATTACCTAGACAAAGTATCTTAAAGGCTTTTCCATTTGGATATACTCATAATACCCTTTTTCTTGCATATCTCTTTTGTTTAGTATTAAAAATAGGAATTATTTATTGTTTGAGGGGAAGAAAACATCGAATTACTTCTCCCGCCCTGGGTGAGGCTAGAGGGAGTGTCAGATTTAGAACCAACTCGTTCGGTCTTGACTTCTTCGCCGCGTCACCATATTGCGCTTGCATATTATTGATTATTGAGTCATTAAAGCGATGACTCTGTGTCTAGTCGTTTATGAGTAAGATAAGATAGGATAGTCAAATTCAGTACTTCTTCCGAAATGTCAAAAGAAAAATGTTCTTTCTTTCTGATTTTTGTATTAATAGCCCATTTTGACGTCATCTTTTTTAACGTTAAATAGCATAACTCCTATCTCTACATTTATCTAAACACTAGCTACTCTCGCGCGGTTTCATCCGCTGCTCGGTTCCATTTAATAGTAGCATGATGTTTTATAGCCTATAGCACCCAGGAATATTGTAGCTATCTATAAGTGAAAGAATTTTGGAAATCCGACCAGCGGTTCCAAAGATTACCTCCGACATACAAACTTACAAATTTACAAATTTTACCTCTTTATAATATTAGTATAGATAGAAAACGAATACAAAATGTTTCTAGATGTTCTCCGGAACTACTGGTTCGAATAAAACAATTATTTTTGTGTTTGTTAGTCCATATATAGAGGAAGGCTATAGGCTATAAAACATCACGCTATGACCTGTAGGAGCTGAGCAGCAGGTGAAACCGCGTGAAAGTAGCTAGTGTATCAATAAAGACTATTTAGTTTTCATAAAAAAACTTTGACCCACATTCGTATTTTCCCCTATGCCACGTTCGGTAAAGATTTCACAGACATATCACACTCATCCCGGAACAACGATTTGTTGATCGCACAAACAGTTGTTTCGTGTAAGAATCGAACACGCGGGTTGTTGAACAACTGTGCTATACGTATACGTATATTGAGATTTTTTAGCGTTTCTATGTTAGCAGATCAAATGTGGCGTAGCTTAACTTACATCCAACACCATGTACTTAATCACCAACCGCTAACTCTATTCGTTATCCTAGATGTTGGGATAGGACTCAATTGCGTGATAACAATACACACTGGTTTGCAGTAGTGTGCAATTGTAAGTAGCACTTGTGTGTTTGTGTGGCATGTTATCTTCGTGTGTCGGGTCGACACCTCGCGTCTCGCCGGAAACATGCGCTATCAGGACTGCTATGAAGGATCTGTAGTATGTATGTACTGTCTACTGTCTTCGCATTTGTAAAAACTATATAAACTTGTGAAATATTAATAAAAAAATAAGTCATGGTAATAAAATCCGTATCCAATATGTCAATTGGATGTATTCGATTAAGTACATACATTATGAATTACCCAAGCTATTTTATATTAACGATTTATTAAAATAAAAGTTTATATTGAATGAAATAATACGTAGGTACTTCTCTGTATCTGGGAATCATACAATCCAAAGATCTCTAACTCAGTAATTGTAAGTGCAATGCCCAGCATAAACAATACTTAATCAAGCCAAGAAACAGTACATCACTTGCAACATATTCAATAAAATTGCAGTTTAATCCATAATGCTCGATACATAAACATACCTATATAGTTACCTAATAGTATAGTAATAGATTGTACTACACCAACCGTCAATAAAACTCGCCAAATTATCTAAAAGGTAATTTTGACGAGGAAGCGCTTCCCACTTGATAATAATATAATAATAGGCAATAAACTCGCGTCGAGATAATTTGTCAAAAATACAGTGATTCGTTCCCTAGTGCTTGCTATAAATAAACTGGGTGAAGATATTACACGTGGTATGCTGATAATATCTGTGATAGTACAGACAAACAAGATCATTAAACGAGTTCTTCAATGAAATAATACATTACAAACACTGATTAGTGGCCACATGTTATCCCACTGCCGGACCGGCCACGCTTGGTAACCACACGATAATGCCAATATTAACTTACATTACAACAACAATTAGCAGCTATTTTTGCACATTTCTATAAATGTTAATTGTGTTTATGTATGTACTGTACACTGATCATTTTGTTTTTTCAGAAATACGTAATTGGTCGTCTGTTTAGTAAATAAAGAGATTTTGTTTTTCATTTTCGAAGGTCATACTCAGATATTTGTTAAACGAACTATTTGTGGTAAATACATTCCCTGTATAAATAAGTACACTCATCAGATATATTTGAAGTTTAAAGTCATAGGTAAAAAGTGCCTTTTCCGAATTTTTGAATAGAATAGTCAAATTCTATACTTTTTTTAAATGTAAAAACGACAGATATCTAAGGGACTAGCACGTTGTGACGTGACGTGATACGTTTTCTTCAGGATAATAAAAAAATACGAATATTAAGTATATCTAACATAAATTATGTAAAGGTGTTATGTTTCAATAATTTGTTTTTGTCTGTGGAAACTACCCAATTATCTCTTTATTTGACATCTAATCTTATTAAGAAAAGGCCGGCAACGGGCTCGTAACTTCTCTTGGATTGCCGGGTCCATAAGCGATGATTGCTTACCACCAGGTAACCGTTCTGCCCATATGCCGCCATGTCACATTAAAAGAAATAACGTCTCGGAGTAACATAACATTAATTCTCAATCTAGAAACATAATTTAAGATGAGTAAATAGCCGATACCGACGATGGCAACTTACCCCACGATATCTGGAAGCAAATATTATCAATGTAGGTAAACAGTTAATTAGTATTAAACATATTCAACTTAGTGATTGTCCTAAGTATTGACGTGTTTATGGGCACGTACACAATTAGAGAGATACGAGACCCCCTAATGTCAACTTATTTATTACTAGCTGTTTCATGCAGTTTGGCCCGCCTACCGAGGGAACTATTTAACGTACACGAATAAAATATAGCCTATAGAACTCAGTAACATCAGTGAAAGAATTTCGACAATCCGACCACTGGTTCCAAAGATTACCCTAACGCTAACAATTGCTTCTTTATAATATTAGTATAGAAATTGTATAGGTGCAAGTGTTTCCAGTTTGCCAATACAAGTAGTTGTTTAAGTTCGATAAACTATATCAGTGTTGTAGATACGGGTACACTTAGAAGGCGGTACACCGGTATTATTTTATTTGTTATGTCATAATATTGATAACCATTATATTAGAGTAGTTTGTAACTAATTCATTACTTTTTATGAAATGTGAAATACGTTCAAATATTTTTACATATGAAATAGCAAGTTGTGATATTCTCATTAGTATTTTAGAAAATTCAAACTAAATAAAATATCAAGTCAAGGTATAAAACTGTAATTATTTTTAAGTATGATCATGTTTTTAAAAATTGAAATAGTTTCTTTTTGACTGAGAAAACCGAGAAAACAGTTACTATAACATAATAGGGCCAAAACCTGTACCTGTAACAACTCTATGAATGGCTTAAATGAAATGGTCACAAAAGATTTCTAGGAATCAAGGATTGTTAAATGAGAAATCGCAGAATAGTGATAGTAGATAATACTCGGGTTTTTGACAGTGATTGCGGATGATCCGCATAGGAGTGTAAGACTGTAGTTTTGTTCTGAAATATGTTTAAGTCGAGCCGTTAAGTAATTTATAGGACAATTTAAACTATTAAAATACTCGCTTTTGACGGCGACTTTGTTCGCGTGGAATAGTGACTTCCTGCAGATTTTTGGTTGATAAACTATCCTACATACATAATACTTTCTACTTTCTCGAGTTCCAAACTATGTACCAAATTTCACACAAATAGGTTCAGTAGTTTAGGCGTGAAGAAAAGACAGACAGATAGACAGAGTTACTTTCGCATTTATAATATTAGTTTGGATTAACCAAAGTTTGATTGTGTTCACATATGTATTTATTTGTTGTTTGATCTACAGGGGCTGTCGTGTTGCCGGCAGCTGAGCTCCGTGCTGATCTGGTTGTTCGGTGAGCTCAGTGGCGCCACCACCAGCTCGGGCAGTGAGGCGGTACTGTCCCCCGCCACGCCGCGCACTCCTATACACCAACTCTTCTCACATAAGTATGATCTTAATGCTTTTATTCATTTACTCGTTATATACAATTGCATATCGGAGGACTTAAGGCTTGAAACATTTTCTACCAGTCATCCTAATGTAATGTTTGGTACGTGCAAATTCATTGAAACTACTAATCTGATTTTAATAGACCTTTTAAAATATAAAATTAGTTAGGCCTACAACACGTACCGCACAATGGCTCTTTTAAAATATGAATTACAAAACTTAAAATTCAATCGGATCTGGTAAAATATTAATACCAAAAAAGCTTATACATTTAATTTAATCAGGGATGCAAGCACATCTATCAACAAAATCATTATAATAATATATTCTCTAGAAGGAGTCAATAAAAAGAAAAGCCAAAGTCAATGTCTATAAAAAATATTTATTCTAAATAAACATTTCAAAACAAAAGCCGTATACCTATAGGCACTGTGGAAACGTGAAAATAGAAAAATAGTCTGTCAGTCTGCACGTCAGTGAAACTAGGTGCTTGATCCAAAGTGTAGATTCGAATGGAGAAAAACGAGCAAGTATCTTGTAGTACATGCTTGGACTTGCAAATTATATAAAAGCAGTAACAGGGTTAGCGACAGTTAGATTATGTATGTGTTACGTGACAGACATGACCTGCGTATTGTAAACAGTACTACATTGTAGCGTCGTCCTTTGTTAGGCACGTAGTACTCGCCTGCTTATCTGCTGCAGTGCAAACAAGCGCTGCGAGGGAGCCCGGCGCAAACACCTTGTATGCCCTTGACATCTACACATATATGTATTTACTTCAAAATTTTTGTACGGATGAAGAATCATCAATTCGAGCCAGATCACTTTTACTTGCTAACACGGCCTTTCAAAAGCATAAATAATTTATTCAAAAATAGTCATGTGGATAAACAAATAAATGTTATTAAAATAGATGTTCCTTTCGAAGATTAGCCTGTGTAAACAAACTCCTTGGGTAATTAGACTTGGTTTTAAATAGGAGCCAGTTAGTTGGGAATTGAGATCGTTTCACGAATAATGATATAAAATGGTAAACTTTTTATGGTGGAATGCAATTTCAATTGGAGGCAGTAGGTTGTTTCGGGGCCTTTTCAACATAAACAATACCTAGTCTAGCCATAAATACTGTAATAAATATTTTTTTTTCTGTTGCAAATAACATTTATTACTTTCACAGTATGTAAGTTTAATACATAAATATAAAACAATTTAAAACATAAAAAGCTTATTCGAAGTTGTCTCCATTGGCTGCAATACAGTCCTTTAAACGTTGAGGCCAGTTATCAATAGAAGCACGCACTCTTTCCATGGGAAAATTCTTCACTGCCAATCGTATGGATTGTTTTAGGGAGTCCAAATTATCATGACGTTTAGAGCAAGCCCTACTCTCTAAAACTGACCATAAATCATAATCCAGCGGATTAAGATCGGGACTAGACGATGGCCAGTCTTCAGCTCTGATGAAGTTGGAAACGTTCGTTTCCAACCAAGACTGCGTGGACCGAGCTTTATGACCCGGCGCCAAGTCTTGCTGGAAGGACCGTAGTTGGTTATTGAACATGGTGTTGTTGGTGCTTAACTACCTTCTCAAGAATGGTATTTTGATACACTTGTGCCGATGTTTTGATACCTTTTTCGCAAAAGTATGGCTCAGTCACACCTTCATAGCTAACACCCCACCAAACCATCACTGAAGTCGGATAATGCCCACGTTGCACTCTGTCGACTAATTGAGAAGCTTCCTTAGAGCTTTGAGCATAAATACGGTCATTTTGTTCGTTAAAATGTTGCTCAATTGTAAACATTTTCACATCCGTAAACAAAATTTTTCTGTGACCTCCCTTTGCCTACCGCTTCAGTAGTTATTTAGATTTTATCACCCTATTCTTTTTAAAATTATTATTTAAAAAATGTCCAGTGCGTCTTTTAAAATACGCGACATGGTTCTTGGAGCTATCTTCATCTCCCGAGATAAAATCTTTTGCTTTCGGACAGGATTTCTTCGAATTCTTTCCCTTACTGCTTTGACCACCTTTTTCGTACGAACACTACGTGGACGGCCAGATCTTTTTCTGTTACAAACAGAAGAGGTCTCATTGTACCTATTAATAGCCCGGTACACAAACATTTAACTAATGCCAAGCGTGTGGAGAGTTTTATAATTGCATTTGGCTCCATACCCACTTTGTGTAATGCAATCACAGCGAATCAGTTCTTTTATATCACCCCACTCCATTTTAATATCGCAAAATATTGAACAATTTATTGGCGCCAAAATAAGAAAACACAATGAAAAATTATATAAAAATGACAGATTCCAAATTCAAATGTAATATTTTATTTATTTTTAATTGTAACAGTATCTATGGCCAGACTATGTATATTATTTCCTCTACAAAATATTACTATAGCACAGCACACACATTTTGTATAAAATAACTAGTAAGCTAGAAGTCATGTAAACATTCTAGAATATATCCCAAACTTATTTTACAGCGAGCGTGTTTACTTAAATGATAAAGATTTATGGCTTGATACCGGCTTGCGTTTGCACGTATATTATATTTGTTGCCCTCAATTGGCAGGAGGTCATTAACGAGAATTCATCAGTATACAAAACTGTACTCAGAATTCTAGTAGTGATGTTATCATATTATGATAAGATTTACCGAAATTTTTTTGACCTGCTGTATTCACAAACATGATAAAATTCGCAAAAACAATTTCACCGCCGCCACAACTTAGTTTGAATAATAAATATCAAAAATGTAACTCAATCTAAGCCGTTACATTCGTATTTATTAATGTTAATATTTCTTTCTAGAATATGGTCAAAACAAAAGCCTACGGGCGGGCAGACGTCCAAGATGCAGTCTACGCCCGCATCGGACAGAGGTTCCGTTACTGGCAGGTAATTATATCAAAATAGTTCAGGTTAATGATTCCAATGTGCCTTGCTTGTTAAGTCCACTTTGAGCAATATTTTACTTACACGAAGTATATTAATTTAATTAATATATACTTCCTTCTAACTATTTAGTTTCAGAAAAGGCACTCCTTGCCCTTAAACATGTTCTTTGTTTGCAAATTGTTTGAAGATACTAACTATTTAAAGCAATATGTATTGTTCACAGATCACGGCACTCGATGCAACCCAAATTAGATTCACTCGAACGAACGAAGAAAAGACTGTCCAAGCAAACAGACCAGTCCTCCGAGTCGGGGGACTCCAACGACGACCTGCAGATCCTGAACCGCTCTCTAACCATCAAAGTAGTCACGCCCAACGACGACTTCGAGTACTTCAACAGCACGCGCTCCTCCAACGAGTACCCCAACGACTCCTACTACGATCCGTACTACACGCCGCGCAAACCCAAGCCCAAAGCGGAAGACTACATCAACGATAAACATAGGGAAATCATCAACTTGGAGATCTCAACATTCCAGTTTACTTTAATTATAACAGATCTACTACAAGAGCTATGTAAAGCAGAAAGTAGTTTGTCCGGATCTGAAGGATCACAAATCTCAATGCAGTGCATTAATTTTTCCCTGCGTAACCTGTGCTCGTTACAGTTTAGCTCACTGCCACAGCAACAAGATAATGCTGTAGAAGTGTCCAGAATTAAGGTGGCCCTGACAGAACTACTGATGGTGTCACTAGACCAAGTGCTCATCCACTCCGACCTCTGTGCCAAATTAATCAACAACGGTATCCTGCCGATGTTGCTTCGAATACTAGAGGACGTCATCTCGAAACGTAGACAAAATAAACTCGAATCCCAGAATCGTAAAGAGGATAAGACTGAATCTGACAATTTGCTCAACTTTGTATTTGGAATCGCGTATTCAATAACCGCGTTCTTCCACTGCCTGCTGATGCAGTGCCGCAGCGTGGACAAGCTGCGGGAGTTCACGGAGCAGTTCAAGCTGTACGGGGAGTGCCTCAAGGGCGGGCTGCTCAAGGAGTGCATCGAGCTGATGATCCGCATCCCGGCGACGGGGGACGAGGCCGTGGTGCTGATCAAGAAGCTGATCGAGACGGTGGGCAAGCTGGTGGTGGGCATGAAGCGCGTGCGCAGCGAGGTGCTGCACTCGGCGGCGTGCACGCGCGCGCGCCACAAGGCGTGCCGCGCGCGCGTGGCGGCCGGCCTGCACCACCACCACGCCGTGCTGGGCGACGCCAGCTGCGGCCTGCCGCTGCCCGCCGCCTGCTGCGTGGCCCTGCTCTACGCCACGCTCAGCGCGCTGCTGGCCGACGACGAGGTGGCCGCGCGCCCCGCGCTGCGCTCCAAGCTCCTCAAGGTCATGCTCAGCTGCGGCGTCTGCTGCTGCTTCTCCCCCGGCCTGCTCATGGAGAGCATCGTGCGCCTCATGCTCACCCACGCCAGCGCCGCGACGCTGTGTCTGCAGCTGCTGGAGCACACCGTGTACGGGGAGCTGGGCGCCAGCATCCTGCTGCCCAAGGTCACGGACCAGCTGCCGTGCTCCATCTGCGAGCCCTGCGACGACAAGAAGGAGGTGAGCAGAAAGCAGTGCTCGCACGGCATCAGCCCCATCGACCGGAAGAGCGTGTGGTCGTTCCTGTACCACTACAACTCCCTGCTGCAGCTGGACAACGACAACAACGTGCTGCACGCCACCGTCAGCCACCTGCTGCGGGTCACGCCCAAGTGTCGCATGGAGATGAAGTCCGAGCTGCTGTTCAGCGTCATATACCCGACCTTCATCGTAGCCAAGCACAGATATATGATACGCATGGAAGAGTCGGCCTACTTCCTTACCGTGTCCTGCCTGAACATATTCGCCAGTTTGCTGAACACCGTGTCGTTCGCGGAGCAGTTTATTCAAAAAGGCGGCCTCAGTTACGTGCTGGAACTAGTTTCGCTCTCTGAATTCTCGGACCAGTGTTGTTCTATACTAGAGATAGCGATAATCGTGGAAGTGTTCAAGCTAATGAAGGAGAACTCGGAGCTGTCGTACTTCAGGGAGATGGGCTCGCTGGCCTCGGTGCAGATGTTGTTCAAGTCGCTGACGGAGGTGACGGACAGGTGTTACAAGATATACAGGCTGCAGCTGCCGGAGGAGCAGTTCCGGGAGCTGTGCGACGTGAGCAAGGAGCGGGACATGCTGGCGCTGGTGCAGCCGGCGGAGCCCCGCGCCACGCGGCACGCGGCGGCGGGCGCGGGCGCGGCGGAGCCGGCGGAGGGCGCCGCGGAGACGCTGAAGCGCGCGTGCACGTTCTGGAAGACGTGCGCGGCGCTGTGCGCGCACAGCCCCCTGTTCCGCGAGCACGTGCTGGGCGAGGCGGCGCTGCTGGACAGCTACGCGCTGCTCAAGCTGCTGCTGCAGGCGCTGTGCGCGCGCGCCGCGCCGCCGCACCTGCTGCGTCTGCTCGTGCGACTCGTCGAGGCGCTGCTCACCATGCAGCTGGCGCTCTCAGGTCATTATACTACTTACTTTTTTTTTTATGTATTATATCGGCAATTGAGCCAGCGGCTTACCTGATTCTAAGCAATCGATGCCGCTCGCCGCACTCGTAACACCAAAGGTGTGACAAATGCCTTGCGGTGCTTTTGTGGATTTCAGGGCTTTTTCAATTGAAGAGGGATCGTTTTTCACGCCGGTTTACTGTGACGCCATGGTATCACTTCAGTCGAGCCACACTTACAAATAATCCGGTAGTTTCTAGCTAGTCAAATTCAATACTTACATCCAAATGTCAAAAAAGATACTTTTCTATGAAATTTGTATGAAAAACTGAGTTATGACGTCATAGTATTTTTGCGTCAAATAGCTTACTTATTTCTCAATAATTTGCTACAAAATATCTAAAACTTATTTTTCAATATTTTATTGTATTAAAACGTCGAATTCATTTATTTTTGACCGAGGAAACTACCCAATTATATTAAAACCAAACAAAAAAAAAAATGAAAGTACAGGCAGGCCACGAAATAACAAAAAATTTATAACTTTAGTAGAAGACGATTAGGTTAGAAATCGAATAAATTAATATTGGTCTTATTCGATTAGTTGTGATTAGCCAACATGTTTAAGTGCACAGATCACACTAGACAATGATCCACTGATCACATATAACTATATTAGCTGCATTATCATACTGTCATTAACCGCGGTAATACGATATTCTGCGCTCCATACTAGAAGCCCTACGAATTATAATTATCTATTTTGCACCTTACTTTATAGTGCTTAAGTTACATATTCGTAATACTGTAGCTGTACAGTAGATGATGACATTCACAATCGATTTTATACTTTGTAATGTTTAGTTTTAAAGCAGAAATTTGGTTACACGGAGTTGATGATGAGATGTCGCTGGCAGACTGCTCGTGTCACGGTAGATTTGATTACAAATAGTCGTACGTCAAAACCTCGACATATACGAAGATTTATTAATTTTTTTTTTTATGTTTATGTTAAAAAGCTTGCAACATAATACTTTTTATTCTCTGAAGGAGTAGGTAGAAATGCTTGCGCGTATTGCAAACTTAAATGTTGTAATTATTTTCGCTACTTGTATCATATATGTTATAGATGAGAGATCGTCAATATTAATATGACGATTTTCAACAACAAAGTTATTTTAATAACAACTATAATGAGACTAACAAAATTAATTAAATAAATTGAGAAAAACTCTACTATCGGTTTTTCCTCATGAGCAGCGTGTGTATCATGAACAACAAAGTTATTAGTGTCATAATATTTTTTTCAATTTTTATAGTTATGTACCTACCCTTGCTCATCGGTTTAGGGATTAAAACAATAATGTTTCTGTGTAGATGTGACGTCAGGTCGGTCGAAGGAGGTGAGCTGCGCACTGGTCCGCGCGGCGCTGGGCGCGGGCGGCGCCGACGCCGGCGCGCTCGAGGGCGGCGGCGGACTCCGCGCGCTCTGCGACGCGCTCATACGGGTCGCGGCCGCGCGCACCCAGCGCACGCACGCCATGCCGCGCCCCCTGCACGCCAAGGTACTGTACCTGCACGCGCCGTGTCTACATATACTGCGGCGCACGCCATGCCGCGCCCCCTGCACGCCAAGGTACTGTACCTGCACGCGCCGTGTCTACATACACTGCGGCGCACGCACGCCATGCCGCGCCCCCTGCACGCCAAGGTACTGTACCTGCACGCGCCGTGTCTACATATACTGCGGCGCACGCACGCCATGCCGCGCCCCCTGCACGCCAAGGTACTGTACCTGCACGCGCCGTGTCTACATACACTGCGGCGCACGCACGCCATGCCGCGCCCCCTGCACGCCAAGGTACTGTACCTGCACGCGCCGTGTCTACATACACTGCGGCGCACGCACGCCATGCCGCGCCCCCTGCACGCCAAGGTACTGTACCTGCACGCGCCGTGTCTACATACACTGCGGCGCACGCACGCCATGCCGCGCCCCCTGCACGCCAAGGTACTGTACCTGCACGCGCCGTGTCTACATACACTGCGGCGCACGCACGCCATGCCGCGCCCCCTGCACGCCAAGGTACTGTACCTGCACGCGCCGTGTCTACATACACTGCGGCGCACGCACGCCATGCCGCGCCCCCTGCACGCCAAGGTACTGTACCTGCACGCGCCGTGTCTACATACACTGCGGCGCACGCACGCCATGCCGCGCCCCCTGCACGCCAAGGTACTGTACCTGCACGCGCCGTGTCTACATATACTGCGGCGCACGCACGCCATGCCGCGCCCCCTGCACGCCAAGGTACTGTACCTGCACGCGCCGTGTCTACATACACTGCGGCGCACGCACGCCATGCCGCGCCCCCTGCACGCCAAGGTACTGTACCTGCACGCGCCGTGTCTACATATACTGCGGCGCACGCACGCCATGCCGCGCCCCCTGCACGCCAAGGTACTGTACCTGCACGCGCCGTGTCTACATACACTGCGGCGCACGCACGCCATGCCGCGCCCCCTGCACGCCAAGGTACTGTACCTGCACGCGCCGTGTCTACATACACTGCGGCGCACGCACGCCATGCCGCGCCCCCTGCACGCCAAGGTACTGTACCTGCACGCGCCGTGTCTACATACACTGCGGCGCACGCACGCCATGCCGCGCCCCCTGCACGCCAAGGTACTGTACCTGCACGCGCCGTGTCTACATACACTGCGGCGCACGCACGCCATGCCGCGCCCCCTGCACGCCAAGGTACTGTACCTGCACGCGCCGTGTCTACATACACTGCGGCGCACGCACGCCATGCCGCGCCCCCTGCACGCCAAGGTACTGTACCTGCACGCGCCGTGTCTACATACACTGCGGCGCACGCACGCCATGCCGCGCCCCCTGCACGCCAAGGTACTGTACCTGCACGCGCCGTGTCTACATATACTGCGGCGCACGCACGCCATGCCGCGCCCCCTGCACGCCAAGGTACTGTACCTGCACGCGCCGTGTCTACATACACTGCGGCGCACGCACGCCATGCCGCGCCCCCTGCACGCCAAGGTACTGTACCTGCACGCGCCGTGTCTACATATACTGCGGCGCACGCACGCCATGCCGCGCCCCCTGCACGCCAAGGTACTGTACCTGCACGCGCCGTGTCTACATACACTGCGGCGCACGCACGCCATGCCGCGCCCCCTGCACGCCAAGGTACTGTACCTGCACGCGCCGTGTCTACATACACTGCGGCGCACGCACGCCATGCCGCGCCCCCTGCACGCCAAGGTACTGTACCTGCACGCGCCGTGTCTACATACACTGCGGCGCACGCACGCCATGCCGCGCCCCCTGCACGCCAAGGTACTGTACCTGCACGCGCCGTGTCTACATACACTGCGGCGCACGCCATGCCGCGCCCCCTGCACGCCAAGGTACTGTACCTGCACGCGCCGTGTCTACATACACTGCGGCGCACGCCATGCCGCGCCCCCTGCACGCCAAGGTACTGTACCTGCACGCGCCGTGTCTACATACACTGCGGCGCACGCACGCCATGCCGCGCCCCCTGCACGCCAAGGTACTGTACCTGCACGCGCCGTGTCTACATACACTGCGGCGCACGCACGCCATGCCGCGCCCCCTGCACGCCAAGGTACTGTACCTGCACGCGCCGTGTCTACATATACTGCGGCGCACGCACGCCATGCCGCGCCCCCTGCACGCCAAGGTACTGTACCTGCACGCGCCGTGTCTACATATACTGCGGCGCACGCACGCCATGCCGCGCCCCCTGCACGCCAAGGTACTGTACCTGCACGCGCCGTGTCTACATATACTGCGGCGCACGCACGCCATGCCGCGCCCCCTGCACGCCAAGGTACTGTACCTGCACGCGCCGTGTCTACATACACTGCGGCGCACGCCATGCCGCGCCCCCTGCACGCCAAGGTACTGTACCTGCACGCGCCGTGTCTACATACACTGCGGCGCACGCACGCCATGCCGCGCCCCCTGCACGCCAAGGTACTGTACCTGCACGCGCCGTGTCTACATACACTGCGGCGCACGCACGCCATGCCGCGCCCCCTGCACGCCAAGGTACTGTACCTGCACGCGCCGTGTCTACATATACTGCGGCGCACGCCATGCCGCGCCCCCTGCACGCCAAGGTACTGTACCTGCACGCGCCGTGTCTACATACACTGCGGCGCACGCACGCCATGCCGCGCCCCCTGCACGCCAAGGTACTGTACCTGCACGCGCCGTGTCTACATACACTGCGGCGCACGCACGCCATGCCGCGCCCCCTGCACGCCAAGGTACTGTACCTGCACGCGCCGTGTCTACATATACTGCGGCGCACGCCATGCCGCGCCCCCTGCACGCCAAGGTACTGTACCTGCACGCGCCGTGTCTACATACACTGCGGCGCACGCACGCCATGCCGCGCCCCCTGCACGCCAAGGTACTGTACCTGCACGCGCCGTGTCTACATACACTGCGGCGCACGCCATGCCGCGCCCCCTGCACGCCAAGGTACTGTACCTGCACGCGCCGTGTCTACATATACTGCGGCGCACGCCATGCCGCGCCCCCTGCACGCCAAGGTACTGTACCTGCACGCGCCGTGTCTACATACACTGCGGCGCACGCACGCCATGCCGCGCCCCCTGCACGCCAAGGTACTGTACCTGCACGCGCCGTGTCTACATACACTGCGGCGCACGCCATGCCGCGCCCCCTGCACGCCAAGGTACTGTACCTGCACGCGCCGTGTCTACATACACTGCGGCGCACGCACGCCATGCCGCGCCCCCTGCACGCCAAGGTACTGTACCTGCACGCGCCGTGTCTACATACACTGCGGCGCACGCACGCCATGCCGCGCCCCCTGCACGCCAAGGTACTGTACCTGCACGCGCCGTGTCTACATATACTGCGGCGCACGCACGCCATGCCGCGCCCCCTGCACGCCAAGGTACTGTACCTGCACGCGCCGTGTCTACATATACTGCGGCGCACGCCATGCCGCGCCCCCTGCACGCCAAGGTACTGTACCTGCACGCGCCGTGTCT